ATATGCTTATTTAAACATCCTTAAAAATAATTTGAAAGAAAGTGCTACAAAATTCGGTATTGAGGGGTCATTCATCTTCCTGCAGGATAATGACCCCAAACATACCGCACTCATTGTTAAGGAATGGCTCCTATATAACGTTCGAAAACAACTTAAAACCCCACCGCAATGACCGGATGTTAACCCAATAGAACATTTATGGGAGCATCTGGAACGCCAAATACGAAAGCATGATATAAGAAATAGGGAGGACTTAAAAAAAGTTCTTATAGAAGAATGGTTACCCAACAAAATACTAATTAATGTCTTTTAAATGCAATAATATTATTTTTATTAAATTACAATACTCCTGTATACTTACTCTTGTGATGTGAATTTTAGATAATTTTACTTTAACTTGCATTATTGTTTTTTTTTCTTATAAAATGAAATATTGTTCTTAGCACATTAATTTTATGTTTTTGTAAAATTAATAAGAACTAATTTTCTTTTATTTTTGGCATAACTATTGAACTTATTTTACAATGAAAGAAGGATTGGACGCTGTATACTTACTTAAGTGACTCACTGTACCTAACATTTTACTCAAATGAACCGGATTTTTCGGAAGACGCTTTTAAAGTTTTCAATTTACTCTCAAAGGGCAGAAAATACAAATGCATTTGCTCTTTTCACGCGGAAACTACGAAGCATAATATATATAACGAGTAATTTGCATTACTTTTTGGAATTATGCCAGTCTTGTAGTAAATGAGCGATATGTATTTTTATGCAAGGTCAGTTCACCACTATTTATGTACATACATACATAAATCCCATCGCACTCTGTGCATTACAGTATTTACTACATACATTACATCTGTTATTTCTTCGGCTGTTACTGTTGCGCAGGCTGTTATTTTTTGTAATGATTTCGTTGTTGGGCATTGTGCTGGCGCTACATAAAAATGCTACTTTCTTGCGTTTGCTGTGCGCCTATTCGAAATCCGAGTTTGACGGTTTTATGAGCGTCATTATTTTTCGACATTTTAACGACCGACGCTATTGACAACGCACCCACACACCCATGCGCTATAAAAAAAAAAACACATTTGCGCCGCCAAATTCAAGCACAAGTTGCTTGTTTGGGGGCTGACTGCACTGCATAAAAAACACCACATATGAAAGCATACGAAAACCATCAAAGCAAACAAACATTTTATATGGATTCTTGGTTTTGCACTACCCCGTTGGTATCTATACCATAAGCACGTTCTCTTGTGGGGTGAACCACTGAACGAATGGTCGGTCATTTGGGCAGTAGACGCACACTGCTGCTATACCAACTTGCTGAAAAAACTGTTGTCAGCAGTGGCAGGGGCTCAGTTATGGAAAGTGGTTGCTGTTTTCCAAATGTACACCATCATAGAGCGCGTAGCGTTGTTGCTGTAGGCATGGTAAATGCTCCCCAAAGAGTTTCCAAGTGTACGCATTTTTTTGTCATCTTTTACATTGTTCAGCCGGATTGAATACTTTGCTTTGTCGCTGAGCAACTGTTACCGAAATATGCGCAGCATAACGACCTTTGTGCGGCGGCGGGTCGGCAGCAGCGAGTCTTGGAAAAGAACAATTTCTAACTGGAGAAAAAAAACGCTCATCAAAATTTGGCAAACATCACTAAATACATTTATTGCTATAATTTTTGCGGAATTTTAGTTGCCACAGCCCTCACAATCCCGTCTATCATTATAAAATTGTTGGTAGGGTGTACAATTTTTAATAATAAACTCAAACTTAAATTTACGTACAATTGTTTTTAATCATACATAGAAGTTGTATAAATCAGCTAAATTTGAGCATAGTTTTAACTAAATTACTAAAGGGCGCTGATATGCTGATTGCGTTGGATAGGTTAAACATTTAACTTTGACACACAATATGCTACTAAGATAATTAAATTGCTTGCCGAAGAATTATTCTAAATATTCTTTCCAACCGCCACTTTACAAAATGTTTTTATGGAGTACAATCAGTTAGTAATATACGTTGCATTGTCGGTATTTTCCTCACATATAGGAAAAGTTACATATTGGAAACATTTAACAAATATCGCATTTGCTATTACACACACACATCTTAAAAGGATGGCCGACTTCCAAAACGTATCAATACAATGTTTGGAAACTGTTATACTGTTTGTATATGCAGAGTTGCGACACATTGCCACCATATACATTGCATATTAAAATTTTAAATATTAAATATAGTGAAGAACAATTTCTCTGTATTTTCCAATTTTAAAACACCAATGGTAACTAATAACCAACGAAGCATCAACTTTGTTTCTGATGCGCTGAGTGGTCTAGCAATACGTTTCGATTACTTTTCGGATGCTTTTTGAAAAAGTATACATTGTCAACACTTTGTAGTTCGGCGCTATGGAACATTATACTTTGTACGTATGCAAAGCAAGTGACGTGTTGGAAGTCAGCCTATATTTAGTACTAAAGGAATGCCCCAGTGTTAATACATACATACATGGTAGAAGTCTTGCACTTGCGTGTTGCTGCTTTCGACATCATTCTTCTGTTCCGGATTTCAACCTTCCTTTAATGCCGCACATTATATGGAAGGAAAAACTTATGTTGATTTCTGTCCGACGGTGAGTTAGTATGTGTGTTGTCTTATTTTAAATTGTCGCATAATACTTAAAAGTAAAAAAATATATTATAATGAAATATGTTATAAAATCATGAAAAGTTTATAAAATAAAAGAAAAACAATTAAACTAAACTACATAAACAGAATTTTAACGCATTGCAGCTCCAGTCGCTGTAACTGCACTCATTAAATCTTCCTCATTCAGCGTGATTAATTATGGAATCAATTAGTTTATCATATAACTCTGAGCGCAACGAAATCTTATAAAATTTCGATTTTTGATACTTGGTATAGACAGACTTCAGTTTGGCAGCGGGTGCATTACGCACCACCGCAGCAATCTTCTTGGCTATGGGTCGCAAATGTTCAGCCGAGTAGTGAGAATACCACTGCATTGTGGGCGTCCAGTGCTTGTTGTTAAAGCCAGTTGGTAATTTAGCATTGTCTTTGAGCAAATGTAAAGCCAAGAAGAGCGACGAAGCGGCGATCTGCAAAATAACGCATATACATATTTCTAATGAAGCTTAAAATTCAATTCAAATTGGCGCATCTAATTTGGGTGTATTACCTCAGACGGTTTGTATGCTGCTAAATCGTATTCGATTGATGTCAATTCGATGAAATATTTGGCCATCGCATGATGTATATCTTCTACTTTAGCCGCCTTTGAGAAGCGACGCAAAAAGTGTATTGGCAAAGGACGGGCCAAATTGCAATCGAGAGTTTTGAAGATTTTCAATTCCATTTGCACAATTTGTTTCGAGTTATAGGTGTCATCAGTAATGAAAACAAATTCGGAAATTGATGGTGGTATTAGCTCTTCGTACTTAGCTGCAATGAATAGCGCAGTGACGCCAACTAATTGCAAATGTATACGTTTCGTATCCTTTACTTCTTGTAAGTATCGATCTATAATGGCTACGGCCATTTGGAATGTTTCTGGGTCCAAATGAAATTGACAATGCACTTCATTGATCCAATCAATTAGCACAGCGCGCATTTTAGGATGAACTTCATCTTGACAATCCAAATGATTTTTGCGAATATATTGTTCCTCCTCCAATTGAAATAGGTAATTATATATATCATTTACATATTCAGACACGAGTAAAAGTTGATCAGAATCGCCAGAGTCAATGTCTTCAACGCCTTCTATACCCTCGGGTGAGAGTGTTTGCACGCTTTTGATTTTTAATGAAGACTGCTTGCTGATTTCAGAGCCAGAATCTCTTGGTTCTTTTGCTGCTAATGGTTCCTGCTTGCCTTTTATACTCTGCGCTGTTGCCTTTGCCGCTATGACCTTGGAGCCGCTATCTCGTGACAATGCTGCTTTCAATTTTGTTAAGGATTTCCGTGACAAGTTGCTATCTTCCCGCCGCAATGCTAGATGTTCTCCTACGGTAACTGACTTTTTAGTCTTTGCCTCCTCTGTAACCTTGGTTTTACTGACTAAACAAATATGTACACACATAGATAAATATGCAATGAGGTGGTTGAACAAAATTTCCCTCTACAAACATTTTTATTAACTTACGTTTTGCCTGTTGTAATTTATTTTCAACTACTTTTACAGTAAGCGTCTTGGGTTTGTTCAGGCCGGACACGACATTGCGTTGAAGTGCCGATGGCACGACACCATTGGGTCCGCGCAAAGAATTCGACCTCGTAACATTTTTTTTAGGCTGTTCGGCAGCTGCAGTTGCATTGGGCTTGATAGATGCTGCAACAGCACCTGGCGCTTTTTTCCAATGTGTGTCAACACGTGACTTTGTGTTTTGGATTACATTTTTCAATTTAGCATCAACACTGATGAGAAAAAATTGTTATAGCAAATTAAAAAATTAAATATTTTTACAGTGAACCAAATATAAACTGGGACACGAAATTTTAGGAAGTTTTGGTTATTTTTCATTAATTTATTTTTTGTTTAATACTTTTTTTTTAGGTATAGCTGATTACTTAACAAAAACCATATAAATCCAGAATTGTCCAAAAATTATGAAAATTCTACAAAATTTCAACTTTTTAATCAGCCACCATAGAAAACCCCATTAAATTGCAAATTTGAAGTAGCTAGGACTTGCCGCTGATTTTTGGAAATTTTTTGTTTTCCGTATAAAAAAAAAAAGTTTGAACATACTTTTTATGGAGAAAAATGCGTAAGTAAAAAAAACGGAAAATTGCCAAAAATCAACGATAAGCCTAGCTACTTCAAAATTGCACTTTATTATACTAAAATTTATTGGGCTACAAAACTGCATACCATTTTTGTTTTGTTGTTGAAATTTTACAGAATTTTCATAATTTTTAATTCTTAAGAATTTGGATTTATATGGACTTTTTTAAGTAATCAGCTTTACTTTCATAAAAAAATAATAAACATTAAATAAACTAAAGAAAAGCAGCCAAAACTTTCCGAAATGTCCCATCCAAGTTTATAGTTGGTTCACTGTATACCTAACAAGTTTATTTTTAAAGCTTGCGTAACAATTTTTACAAATGGTTTTTCACTTACTCTTTTTGGGCGGCATCCTTGGCGGCTGCGTGCCGTAGAACTGCCCGATTTTGCAGATCTCCCAAAGCCGCACGCTTTGTAACTTCCGTGGTATTAGTGAGACCAAAATTTTTTACCTTTGTGTAATTATTGGCCTCATTCTTAAAAGAAAACAAAATTTATGTATATACATATAAAGCTCTGATGGTTACTTTTCTTCGAAATTGCAAATCATATGTTGGTTAGAACAAAACAGTATAGCAATAACAATATACAGTATTGGACATATCTATAGCACCCCCCTTTCAAAGCGATATTGTTTGCCACTTATGTTTAATTATTTGTTTTTAAGAATTTTCAATTAAAATACAGTTCATTCTCTAACAAAACCCATATAAACCAATGTTTTAAACTTTTTAAAAGACCGCAAAAAAGTGCAACAACTTTCCCTTATATTTCAAACTTTTTTCTCAGAAGCTATAGAATTTTTTTGAGTACACAGTTTTATAGCGCATTCAATTTTGTCCAATAATGTGGAAGTTTCAAGTCGCTAAAGATTACCGTTGATTTTTTAGAATTTTTTTTTGTCTCATTTGCTTCCATATAACGACTAAAAACCCGCAACATCCTCGGCGAAAAAAATTCTAAAAAATCAACGGTAATTTTTAGCCACTTGAAACTTGCACATTATTAGACTAAAATTGAAAGGGCTATAAAACTGAGTATTCAAAAAAATTCTACCCCTTCAGAGAAAAAAGTTTGAAATTTGGGTGCGGTCTTTTAAAAAGTTTTAAACTTGAGTTTATGTGAGTTTTGTGAGAGAATGAACTGTATTTTAATTTAAAATTCTTAAAAATAAATAAATAAACATGACTGGCAAACAATATCACTTTGAAATGGGGGTGCTATTGTATTGGCCAATACTGTATGTACTTCACCTCTACCTGCGATATATTTTTATAACTCAAAGGAATATTTATCGCGAAATAATTATACATAAGATATAATCTACCAATGTGTGTACAAATAAAATATTATTAACTTTTAGAGATGAATGCTAGGTAGCTGTATAAATGCCATTAAATTGAAAGAAATGAGAATTGAATGTAATCCCTATTCGTGATGAACATGAATTGGCAATTGCCCTTAAGGGACACGAGAAACCCCAATTGCCCTAGAAAGTATGACACACAAACCCACGTGCATGCATATATGTACGGTACCCCAGTAGTTGTGCGCCAAGTGTTGAAGTCTTTTGAACCTCTACCACCATTTTGTTTCCCCTCATCATTCACCAAAATCAGTTAAGTAGCAACAAAAAAGTGAAGCTGCTACAATAAGAAATTATATCAAAATACACACACACACACATGAGTTAAGAAAAATTCTTATGGGCGCAGCCCCAAGTTTCCTAAACTCGATGAAAAGATTAAAACAGATTCCAAATTTAATTCCACTTACCTCGTCATTGCGAATTTTCGTTGCGCCAACCATTTTACTTAAATCTCTTGCCGATATCTAATTTCCAAATGCTAAAATCGAAGCGCTTCACGCTAATCTTGCACTCTTCTGCTGCTGCTCGTTCCACAATCTTCTTTTAATTATTTTATACTCGAATTGGACTTTTTGGCTGATAGAAAAAAGTTGACAAACTCTTTTCTAACACAATTTTACTATCCACCAGGTATTTGTGCGGCAGTTTCCTCTAATTTCTTGTGAGCAGTGGAAAAATCATACGAATGCGAACCGTTGCATTTACTGTTTGAAGCGCACTTTTAAAAAGTCCCGCATTCAACCCGAACATGGAAAACACGAACAATGTTTCGTTAAGTCATCGCTGAATTGCATTCCATCGAAACTTGATCGAAACTGAAAGAAAATGGATGCCAGACCAAAAACTAAAAACAATCAAATAGATCTGGCAATTGACAAAGAACGTAAATGTTTACGTTATTGAAGTCGATCTACACTTTATGTTATGCACCAGTAGTTGTTAAAGAAACCAAAAACAATCGTGGTACAAAGCTCAATAAAAAAAATATTAAAAACCTTTACATTAATAAATTGCGAATTTTTTAAAGTGGCGTATCCTTATTAAGTTGACACAAAAACTTTAAATTTTAATAAAAACTGCGCAGTGGCAGCTTTGCTCGAAGATGGGTCATACTGATACCAGCGCCATCAAGGGATAAAATATTTTAAGTAAATAGCCTGCGGTCTTCACTTTCGTGAAAATCTCACTTGTGAGCTGCTTTTTCTAGCACGCGAGATAGTTTTGCTGACTAGGCATTTGAAATGCCTGGAATTTGCCAGTCTAGGTTAGTATTTTAAATAGTCAAGAACTTTTCTAAATAGGTGTTCTTTTTGAGGAAATGTTTGTTGTTGTTGTTGTTGCTGTCGGCGCTAATAAACCCCCCTCGTGTCGCGCGAAGTCAACAGGGGCTGTCCATAGGGGCAGGGGCGTTAGCTGTGTGGGATTTTGGGTACATGCGAAGAGGTGCCGTTCGTTGATCCATCTCAGATATGAATTTAGCCTGCTGCAATGGTCAGAGCGAAGTTTGACTATTGTAGTGCGCGTCTCCCGAGGCACACAAAGTTCTGTCCGGTCCACGTCGGGTTGTTCTGTGCAAAGAACGGCATTTACAGGTCGAGAGTCTACATAACTCGACACCCACTTCCTGTGAATGCCGTTTAGGGCCTGTCGGTATGCAGTTGGGTCCAGAGGTTGTTTTATTAACCTGTGGACTTCGTCCGTCAGTTCATAGAGATGCCATTGCGTCCTACTAGGCCCCAGCGACCACACGGGCACTGCTTAATTTATAACCCGTCGGCCAATTGCCATGTACGTTGGCAACAACGTTTCTTTGTCTTTGCCCCAAGTGCTGCCGGCCAGCGACTTGAGGTTCTTGTTTCGGCTCTGTACTCTGTTGACAATTGCGGTTGTGTGGGCCGAGAAGTAGAGCAGACTGTCGAAGGTAACTCCGAGGATTTTTGAGTTATTCACCGTCGGAATTGGTACGGCATCGACGTGAATACCCAGCTGCAGTCTGACCTCCTTCGTTCAGGTGGTGAATAAGGTTGCCGAGGATTTTGAAGGGGGAAGAGTTAGGCTCCTTGCAGTGCGGAAGCGAGAAAGCTTGGAAAGATAGCTGTTTACTTTCGAGCATAAGTCATCAATTCCATTCCCAGACGCAATTATAGAACAGTCTTCAGCGTAAGAGACAATAGAGACT